GTATTTTGAGATGATTCCAGATTCCAGAAAAAGAAAAGGAGAGATAATTGTTACCCACGATTTCATGAAGGAAGCTACTGTGGGCAGATCAGAGCACTGTGGACTGCATACCTGAAACTCTGTCTTCTGTACAGAAGGACATTTTCTTGGAAAACTGGTAGCCTTACTTTTATATGTAAGTCTGAAAACAAAAAGGCAAAAACTTGAACTTCCCATCAGCAATAATTTCTACTCAGTTCCATTATTCAAGGTTTACCTTTGATATTCCTGTCCTTAGTTTTCAGTTTTGTTCTCTGAACTCAGACCTCCTCCCTTTCCCTGTGCTTGGTTGGAGCCGGGTTAGTCATTGCTACATTAGTAATTCAAAACCTTGATCATGTAGCATTTAGAGCAGCATTTTCCCAAATTCTTTATAATTGTGCAAACAGTTGTATTCTGTTCTTTGATAGAGATGGCCCTGTTTCTGGAGTTCTGAATTGTTGTCTTTAATTAGGTTTTATGAATAAGTTGCAACTTCCTCTTGGGTGTTCTATTCAGTTGTTGTGGCATCTCTGAGTTAGGCCAAATGACATTTGATTGTCCTTGCACTTGCTAACTTGAGTCTGTTAAATTGCTAGTTCACAGATTATATTTTAAATCCATGCAGAAAAATTATTATAAATCTTTTTTTAATGGGTTTAAAATATAACTTTATGATATACAAAATGTTTAAAATATAACATTTTGAACATAAGCAAATAGATCTAATAAGGCACTAAAATTTTTTCCTTTCATTAGAATGATCTTTTTCCATATTATTAATCTATGTTCTATAATTCTAAAATAAAAAATATGTATACACATGAAAAATATGTATGTATATTCTTTTAGAACTTTCTAATACACACACATATACACACACTCATATTTTTTGGATGTTAATATTTGTGCCTTCTAGTGTATCCTGAAAAAATTCTTTGAAAATTATCAATTGTGAAAAATATAAAGGCTTGCATAAACATACTAAAATGGTTGTTCATAAATTATAAAATATGGGTGATGGTTACACTTTTTTTACAATGTTAACTGTAAATTATTACTTCTAAATATGGAGAACTTTATAAAATTCTGTTCTGTTTCCCAGTTTTCTGTTGTCAAATGTATCTATAAGAATTACCATTCAGATTAAAACCAACTTGCACAATTCTAATTGTTTAACATTGGTTTAATTAGTAGTTACACTCTGGATAATTAAGCTGGAAGTGATTCTTGGGCTCCCCAAAATCCACAGAAAAGATCTCTGTTTGATTTTTCTGCCCTGCTTGTGGATGGAGAGAGCAATAATGTGCTTTCTACATATTAGCAATCCTTAATATAAAAGATGTAAGGTCTTAAAGATCACAGCCCACTAAAATGACAGCTTTAAATTCTGTAGGGTACTTCATACAAGGTTAGTTAAGAACTAATATTTCATGAGAATGTTTCAGGACAATTAAAATAACAATTACACAAGTGACTGCTTCTGGTATGGCTCTTTGTTACGTGACAGAAAAAAATATCAGTGAATGAATTTCTAGGGAGCCATCATCTTTGAGATGATATGGCATATATGCTGTGTTTTATTTTGCTTAATGCAACTTTTAATATGTTGAGATGTGTTTTTAAGGCACTAAAATGCAAGAGCATACACAATTAGAATAGAAAATGTGGGTAATGGAATGCTCTTTCATGTGTGTTTGTGTGTATAGCACATTAGATGTCTGTTCAAAAATTATTGAAACACAAAACTGTGACCTGAACATATTTTTGCCAACTCTATATAACTACCTATGTAAGTACCTTTTTTTCCCCTTTGGTTTGTATTTAGATTGAATCTAGGATTATTCTGTATCTTTAAAGTCTTTTACTAATTAAGAATCAAAAGAAATATTTTTGCAAAACCTTTATTCTAATGACTAGGTAACAGTAAAAGAAAATCCCACCATATTCATAATTAAAATAATATCTCTTAATCATTGGCACAACTACCATGGTATTTTTTTCTTCTTTCTCAGTTAAGTGTTTAGAGTCTGAAAAAAAATCATACATATATGTTTATCTGTAGGTGGTTATTATTTAAGTTGATTCTGCTTATGATTTCTAAGTTCTTAATGGTATTATATTAAAATAAGCCAATATGCACTCTCAATCTTCATTTTGAAGACTTCAGTAATTCTTTAATTAGAAAAATTTTCTTTGTACCAGTATCTTAGAATCCTTGTGCCATTACACATATGTTCAAGGACGGTTTACATTTATATCAGGGTTCTAGATATTATAGCATTGAAAGTGAATGACGAAAAATAAAAGAACATTTTGGAGAAAATCTATTATATAAACAGAGATTAGAAGATCTAGAAAAAAATGAGTTCTGGAGTCCCACAAATTGTCAGTGCTTACACATCTCTGTTTAACATTTATGTACTTATCAAAAAGCAAATTCTCTGAAGCTTGTAATTAGTTTATTGCTCCACCAACTAGGATGATATAACTCAGCAAAATGTACAACAGAAACATTAAAACTTCTTTTAGAGATTTGTGTTTCTTTAGAAAGAAGAAAAAATGTGCAATTGGTATTTTAGTGTCAAATCTCTAAGACAAACTAGGGTTGAAACTATTAAACTAAACTAAACTATCACACTAGAGTTGAAACTATTAAAAGCCAGTAATGTGAACAATGATGCGAAAGTGGGGACTGAGAAGGACTGTTTACCACTGAGTGTTCCTGAGTGCTCCCTGGCAATGGCTGCTCCCTGTGTGCTCTCTTCCCTCCCTCCAGCTCCCATGGAAATGGAGCTGCTGTTTATTGAACTGTTTTCCTGACTCACATCTAAGTGCTTCAATCCCACGCTTTGCCTGGCATGGTGGCAATTCTTTAATTAGAAAAATTTTCTTTGTACCAGTATCTTAGAATCCTTGTGCCATTACACACATTACACACATTAGACACATTACACACACAAACATAACTACGTATCTAATGAACAGTAACTATTCCATGTTAACTTTCAAACAATTTAGATCCCATAAAAGACGTCAAGATTGCCTCCACGCTTTGTCCTTAACTTCTTCCATTTAGAGACAGCAATGAATGTTTTCAAACTCAGTTTTGGAGACAGTATTTATTTCATAATTCACTTTAACTCAATCACCCAGTATGCTTATTTGAAGTAAAAATAGAACACTGTGATGATCTTTATGCTTTTTAAGACCCATTTACCTGGTGAAAAAGAGTTCTGTAATTTCCTTTATTCTATAGTATTAATAACAATAAGATCTGTAGCCCTGAACAAATATATATGTTTTTATATGTATATAACCTATATATAAATTTATGTAAATATGTATATGTAAATTTAGGATATATATGTGTATACATATCCTAAATTTATTTCTGAAATATGATTGAATCTGACCATATTTAAAAGACTCAGAGATATATTAATCTAGACTAGAAATCAAATGAAATAAGTCAAGGATTAAACCAATTGACAGATCACAGATATGAGTTATGTAAATGATTTTCTGTCCAGTGATATAAAGCTATATTCTGCTAAATAATCTGCTTCTAATATTAATTCATCATTCATTTAAAAATCTTATTAATTTGATTTTATTTGTCTATTATTACATTTTGGGATGCTATTTCCTCTTCCTTCCTCAGGCATAAAAGCCCAAATTTTTATTATAAAGACAATATTATGCAAACATTGGTGATTCCTAAATCCTTTGTTAATTTTAGGTTTAATAAGTCTCTTTCAATGTATTGACAGAGGTGTTTTGTTTTGTTTTTTCTTCATCCATTAAAACATTTTCTGTTAACTTTGGTGAAAAACATAATAAAAGTCTGTCAGGAACTTGTGGCGTGTACATTATAAGCAACTCAGAACTTGATTTTCTTGTTTCTTCTTGCCTATAGCTTTCAGAACTTTTCTTTCTACAGGCTAAATCACTCTTTGAACCTGACTGAAAAATTTCTAAACTTTTCTTTTTAAAAATGAAGGATAAAAGCTCTTTTTGATAATTCAAGACTGTTAAGCATAATTAAAATCTACCAACCAAGATGGTTGGTGCCTTTGACCTTAATCATTTGCCCAAATAACATTTTGTAAGGACTGAGACTCCCAGTTCAGAAGATAGACAGAATACATGTTGGATTATGGCTATATCACAAAATAGTTTTCTGTCCTTTGACATGTTTTTTAGTGGCTGGGTGACCAAGTTTCTGATTTAAAATTGAGGAGAATAAGTATAAATATTTCATAAGGTCATTTTGAAATTTAAATAAGATAATACTTTAAAAATATTTAGTTTAGTGACAGATGTGTCTGAGCCCCATGCTTATTAAATACTGTCAACAAATTCACACTTGTCCTTGGTTTGGAGTGATAACTTAAGCGTGTGACACAGAGCTATTTCCAACACCTCATCACATATGTTCATAATGCACCATCATTCATAGTAAACACAGAGACGGGGTAAACAAAGCCTATAATTCCAGTGTGAAACTCTGTTGACATTATTATGAGAACTTTTTCCTCTTGAGCATAATTTATCTATTATTGTATACATTAAAAGAGAAACAAGAAGATTGATAAATCAAAAAAATTGGGGGCTGGGGATGTGGCTCAAGTGGTAACACGCTCGCCTGGCATGCACGGGGCTGGGTTCGATCCTCAGCATCACATAAAAATAAAATAAAAAGATGTTGTGTCCACTGAAAACTAAAATAAATAAATAAATATTAAAAAATTCTCTCTCTCTCCTCTCTCTTAAAAAAATTGATTGTTTTACATAATTCTCTTTTAATAACATTTTTGAGGGGGCTTTGAAAAATACTTAAATTTCAAAATTCTCACATTGACTCTGTTAGCGTGATTAATATCCATTCTTTAGTATCACACATTTACTTCTTTAATCAAAATTATAAGTTAGAGTGCTGTAGATATTCAGATTCTGATACACCTTGAAATGTTTTACAGATTTATTGGCCAGCCACAAAGGAGAGAGTGGAATTATGTAAATTAGCTGGGAAGGATGCCAATGTAAGTATGAAATTTTATAATTATCTTTGTTAAACTAGTACTGATAGTAAATATTTACACTCACTTTTATTGAAATAATGACATAAGTGTATTATTCATTTATTTATATACTAGAAATTTAACCCAGTAACATTCTACCACTGGGCTACTTCCCCCGTCCTTTTTTTTTTTTTTTTTTAAGAAAGGGTCCCACTAAGTTACTTTGGGCCTTGCTAAATTGCTGAGGCTTGCCTTCAACTTGGAATCTTGCTGCCTCAGCCTACAGAGTTCCTGGTATTACAGGTTTGGGCCACCATATTCAATTAAGTGTCTTTGTTTTTTCTTTTTTCTTTTGTACCAGGGATTGAATCCAGGGAAGCTTTACCACTGAGCCACATCCCCAGCACTTTTTATGTTTCTTTGTTGTTGTCGTTGTTGTTTTCGAGACAAGGTTTGCTAAGTTGCTTAGAACCTTGCAAAGTTGCTGAGGCTGGCTTTGAACTTGAGATCCTCCTGCTTCAGCCTTTTGAGCTGCTGGGTTACAGCTGTTCACTACCACACCTGGCTAAGTGTATTATTTTTAAGATAATAAACTAATATTCTCTATAAAGATTGATGTAATGTAAAATATTTCTACCTTACCAAAAGCACTGATGCTGTTTATAAAAATCCAGAAATTTAGGGGTTTGTGACTCAGCAGTAAAGCGCTTGCCTAGCAGGCATGAGGCACTGGGTTCAATCCTCAGCACCACATAAAAACAAATAATAAAAAAAAAGGTATTGTGCTCATCTACAACTTAAAAAACAATTTTAAAAATACAGAAATTTAGAAATGCTATACTTTCTAATGTATCCTCAATATTATTATTTTTATCACAAAAATATTAGAAGCTATTAAAATATTCAAAAACAAATTATCAGCAAACATTGTATTTCAAGGAATGTATTTTTTTAAAAATGTATGTACATGTATTTTGTAAACATACAAGTATCAGACATTTTAGTATCATGAATATACAATTGATTAATTTTATTTGAACTGAAATTAAATTTACAGCATATAGAAGATATTTATATTGTGACAGAGATAACAAGCAAAATTGGTGGTAGAAAAATGAGTTGAGAATGAATGACACAGGATTCTGGCATAAGAACTAGAAGTAACGTACTCTAAAATTTACTTAATAATTATTACATGGAATAACTCATAAAAGATAATTAGATGTTCTTAATATAAACTTCTAGCTTAAACCACCCTAAGAACAAGAACAAAACCCTGTTCAGGAGTCACCCTGTTCATTGTCAGTGCAGTCCTGCCTAGCTTGCTTTACACTGGGCAGTTGTCCTGTGTGCTCCCACACTGAGTCACCTGTTTTACCTCCACATTGATTGACTCCTCTCCTCATCTGCATGCTCTAGTTCATGCCAGATGCTCTGTGTTTTGCTTTGACTTCTTGCACTGTGTGGATGAGGAGAATTATTCTTTTTAGGTAAAATTGATCACAACCTGACTGTAACTCAAGATGGGAAGAGGTTCCAATGTTGGACAGAAACATGGACATCTTGAAGTTTCTTCTGCAACATCCTTTAATGTTACCTTAACCACAATAACACAAGGATCTCAAGTGGAGCTTGGCTTTCATATTTAATAAAAAACAAATTGTTTGTTATATGAAAGCAAAATTAGATTTAAAAATTATCAATGTGATAGACGTACAACAATAGGGTATATGATGTCTTGTGAATTGAGGAGATGCTCGGAAAATTATGATTGTCAGACAACAAGCTGGTTCACCATTTGCTCATTTGTTTAGTCAACAAACAATTTTAAGGAGCCTGAATGTATGTACAACTCTATATCATCTATATATGTATATATATGAAATTGATAAGATAGCTATCCTCAAGAGTCTTTCTACTGGAGGATACAGATAGCACTCAAATTTCTATACATTCATACATAGAAACAGTACTAGAAAACAGAGTGATCAAACCAAAATAAAACTTATGCTTCTACTTGATTTTGTATTAACATGATATGAAATATGATCTATTCAGGCACATTAATGTAAACAGAAATATATCAGGTATTGTTAGCCTCAAATGCAATGGGAGACAGTTTTACTTTCATTTTTACCAGAAAAGAAAGGAATTAAACATTTCAAGACTATATTCTTTATCCCATGACTTCAATGCAGAGACATTGTTCACTCTCATTACATAGCAAGTGCTGGTTCTATAAAGGCATCATTTCTTTATTGAATTTATGAAGGAAAAAATGCTTTGGTTATGAGAGTTTTCAAAATTATTTGTGGAATGAATAGTAGAAGCATGGTGTAACCATTGTGAACAGTTTTATAACTTGTGTTTCACCAATATTGAGTATTTGATAAAAACGCAAGAAGGAAAGGGATGTTTTCAATTTTCCCCAATAAACTAATGTGTATTTTCCCTTCAGTTAGATGAGGAACAAACACCCAAGGTCAAACAACAAGTAAAGTTTTAAACTGTGACAGTGTTCTCATTTCAACATGCACACTAGGTCCAGTTACATAGTAACTGCATGGTCCCTCTTATTAAGTTAAAGCAGAGAGTGATGAGCTTTCCTTGAGTATGTATGACTCAGTACACTGAATGAATTCATCCAATTCAGTTCTGTTTGTGAGCTAGTGCTTACCCTTACCTTTAAGCACTTCTGCTAAAACAGGATTAGAAATCTGGGAAGCTTTCCTCTTTTCACAAATCCTTTAAAATCTGATGTTGATTCATGAAGACACAAGTCTTTATCTCTTCATTTTTAATTGGTCATTCTATTTTAGAGTTCCTGATAATGGCTAACACTCTCACAGCACTTACCATATTCAAAGTACTGCTTTCAGTACCTTATGCTTCTAATCTCATTTAATCCTTAAAACAATACTATATGCTATGCTTTATTATTATTCCATTTTCTCCAGATGAGAAAACTAAAGCCAGGGAAATGAAATCACTTGCCCAATATCACACAGCTGGTAAATGTAGAGCCAGGAATTGAATCCAGAAGTCTGGCTGCACAGGCTATGCTCCTACTTTACACTATAAATCTACATACAGGATCTGAAACCTCTCTCTCTCAAATCATTTCTCTCTCTAATATCACCATGATACAGGTCCTCATTTCGAACAGTATTACACAGATGTTGACCAACAGAAAACTGAGACAAGGCTGTGGTTTTATGGACATCTTTTATTACTGTTGGCACTACCCTCTGTCCTTCCTCCTCTCTAGTAATTTTTACCTACTTCCCAAGAGTACGTTTAGGATTAACAAGTGTTTGGAAAGACTGTCCCTTAACACAAAGGTACTATATAACTGCTAAATAGTGAATTATTTACTATAATGAAATTTAGCTAATTGGGATGGGGAGGCAGTGGAAGATGAAAAAACAAAAGAGAACTATTCCACATTCTTTAACATGGTCCCACAGTTGAATCCAGGGAGAAGAAGGAGAAACAGAAAAATATTTGGCAGAATTTTGCTTCTATTTAGAAGAAGGTTATTCAAAAGAAATCAATGAAGAAATGTCTTTAGTCCTGACTGTACGGCTTGGGTTAAACAACTCAGTCCAGGCAAAAGAAAGGACAGAGCTAGGAGAGCCTGGCTCTGCTTGTCAGCTCAGCTTCAGAGAAGTGCACAGGCTAGCTGTGGAGAGATGTTACAGAGATGGGTGACCTGCCAGCTGTAATGTTCTGTGGTTATATTTCATTTTTTTGTTTTAGTTTTTCAGAAAATCTGAAAACAAAACACAATATTTATTTTAGAAAACTTGCAAATTATATACAAAGGGAGGGAAAAGTCACTTGTAAATACTTTCTCCCCCATAAACACTACCCAGAGATAGCTGGTGACATGTTGGTATTTATTCTTCTATCTTATCTATTTACTGTTTTGCAGAATGAAATCATTGTATACATAGTCCCTGAAAACGTTTTTTTTCCACTTTGCAGACTGCCATGAGCATTTTCCCATGTCGTTAAATTCCTTTTTATAACACCACTTTTAATAGCTACACTGCATTCCATTATGCACTATTTCATCAATCCCCTATTGTTAGAATTCTGGTGCATATCCAGTTTTTATTATTGCAAATGATACTGCATATGAAAATCCTTAAGTATAAACACTGGGAAGATCTTTGATAATCAAGTGGACTTTTATTAGTTAAAGACATAAAATTTTTACACACATATTGCTAAATTTCCCTCCAGAAAGTTTATGAAATCCTTTTATACTACAAATACTAATTATTTTATATTCTTAGAAAAAGTATTTTAAATATCATATCCCTTATGTTTACTTTTCCTTACTGATTATTTAGATTAAAATATATATATATATATATATATATATATATATATATATATATATATACACACACACACGTATATGCTAGTGTATGTGTGTTTGTGTGTGTGTATGTGTATGAGTGTGTGTAATAAAGCATATAACTAATAGGTTTTCCACTCATGGAAAAATATTATTTAGCAGTTTTCTTTTATGAGGACTAGACTTTCAATATTTAAAAAGTCTTTTGCTTTTAAATATTTTCCTTTGCTTTTTAAAAAATGACCAATTATTCCTCTGTAAAAATGTTCACTGTTACATCTTCCATTTTTAAGAAAGAAATTGTGATATTTGAACTTTTATATAGTTATTTTAAAATGCTGACAATTTATTAAAATATTTAAACATTCTGAGAACTAACCACCTATCTCTGCATACAGGATCATGTCTGAGAATAGCATCCAATTAATGATCCAACAAGGTTCAAGATCACAATATTCTACAAAAATGTTAAAAATAAAAACATATCTTAAGAGATTTTGGTCATGTAACTCAATAGTAAAGTGATTGCCTAGTATGCATTATGCCCTAACACTACGAAATATATATATATATATTTTTTACATTTATATTATATATTTTTTAGAGAGAGAGAGAGAGAGAGAGAAAATTTTTAATATTTATTTTTTAAATTTTTGGTGGACACAACATCTTTATTTGTACGTGGTGCTGAGGATTGAACCCGGGCCGCACGCATGCCAGGTGAGCTCGCTACTGCTTGAGCCACATCCCCAGCCCAATTTATATTATATTATATATATTTAAAACATATATATTTTACATATATATATATATATATATATATATATATGTGAGTGCATACATACACATATAAAAAGAGAGAGATTCTTTTTATTTTTAACCACATAAACCTATATTGGATTTAACTAGTCTTCCTGTAAGTCTTGAGAATTGCAGGTACTTCTGTTTGCTAATATCTTTTTGATAACTGAGGAGAAACTAAAATTGCAAATGTTCATGCATTGACCACTTGTTTCTGCAAATATTAATTTAACTTTATATTAATTTTATTAATTTTACATATAAAAATGCATACAACATATTAAATAAAGATGCAACATTAAAACATGCAATGTTACTTCAGAGAATTTAAATATTAATGCATGGTTTTGATCCTCTCTCTTTCTCTCTCTCTCTCTCTCTCTCTATCTATCTATCTATCTCTCCTCTTCAACAAATGGGGTGGTATGAGTAGAAAGGAGAGAATAGGTAGGAAGAATAGGAAAGATACAAGTTTAATACTTTTCCGAAGCTGAATATATTACTTTCTAGATTGTTTGGTAACATGCAAGGATTGTGGGCAATAGCTAACAAATTAGCCAGCTTTCAGGGAAAGTTATAAAAGCTGATTCTCAAAAGTTATCTTTCTTCATGCCTCAGAGAATTACCTTACCATTAATAGTCATGCAAGTTGCTAAATGAATTAAATAGTTAATTATTGATTAGTCTATTTAAGCAAAACTTCGAAAGTTATGCATGCTCGATAAAAGGGTATGTAATCTTTGAGTCTAAAAAAAAATGAAGTCATGAATTAAAAGGGAAGTCACTGTAAAGTAATTGCATTTGGCAAGGTTGTTTGGCTAAAATGTCATGCTCCAGGCTGTTAGAACTCAGAGACTTTATCTTTCATGATCCCTAATCATAGGTTTCTTTTCCTCAGGCAACCAATGCCTTCCACTGCCTCCTGGCCAGTTAGGGAACTGCCTTCTGTCAACTTCCCTGAAAAAAAAAAAAAAAAACCTTTGAACAGGCTTTCTTTTTTTATAAAATGTGTCATATAATTCAAGACTCACCCACACTATAATCTATTCCACTTCAGTCCAATCAGAGAGAGGGAAGGGATTCCAAACACTAATCCTAGGTGATCTCTCACCTTGTGTGGGAACTGGCAAGCTAAGTTACTTTCCAGGGCTGGTTGCATTTTAATAAATAGTCCTAGAAACATTAAAGGTTGAGAAATGTTTTAGGTGTGATTTGTTCTTTTTGTTTTATAGTCATTAAAACATTTCCTATGTGTATACAACTTCATGCCGGGCCTTGTTTCCCTTTTTAACAGTAAGGCTTCTCATAGTCCCTAACTTTTCTGATTTCATTATTTATAATCCGGAAAGAGAGTTGTTTTATTTCTTTATACAAGTATTTCTTTCATAAGTTTCCAAAATTATTATCTAATGACTGTTTGGGTAAAGCTAAACTTCTGTAAAAATGATGAAATAGCTCTCAGTGCATCCATCACATCTCCCTTTAGCCATACATTTTTATTCTTTCCCTTTTTGTGTATTTACTATTCTTTGGGTAGATTTTACCCTTGTGTGCATCTATTAAGGGAGGAAAGACCAAGAAATAAAAGTCCTGTCAGTGAGCATGCCTGAGAAAATATGATGGCCTTTTTCAGTGCAGTGTGCAACAGAGCAACAGTATGCAGGGTGCTGCTCCAGTTAAAAAGTGCTCCATCTATGTACCTGATTTAAGAAATATCCTTTATCTTTGTGGCTACCAGACGGATCAATACTGGTAATTGTATTTCTTAGTTTTAAGCAACTACTGTTTTTTTGTTTGTTTGTTTGTTTGTTTGTTTTTTATAAGGAGGCAGAGAGCAAAACTACGCAATGAGTTTAATGGAATATTCTTTGTGATAGAGCCTGTGGATTTTGTTAAGATCTACAAACTTTTGAGACATAAATTTGCAGACTAGTTGAGTGAAGGAAGGAAGAAACTAGGAACTCTGTTGCACAGATTTGCAGACATAGTTATTCACTCTAAAATCAGAGCAGCCATGGGATATTATGGAATATTAATATTTTGAATTAGGTTTTGTATTAGGTTGAAATCAGAGTAAGGAATGCATAATTATTAAATGTTATTTTTTTCATTTAATCCCGTTTAGCAATCACAACAATCCTATTGGTTAAGTCATTGTCTCTGCCTTTTTAAAATCTTATTTAAGAACCATTCTAACAGTTACATCATTGTCTGTTTTTGTGTTTTTTTTCTTTTATCTAATGTAGTCCTCCCAATAGTCCTTACAAGAGTGAGCATTATATCAGTGCCTCACTGGTGAGGAATCCATGGCTAATCAGGAAAGATTGAACTTTTTCAAGAAAAAAATCAGTGGTTTCATAGGTTTCTAGCTTCCTTAAATACTCAACTGCCTTGTATGTAGAATTATTATCAAGAATAGAAATGTGCTATAGCCTAATATTTTCCTCAGGGGTCTTTGGTACTAGAAATCATGCAGTCATGATTAAGAAAATATTTCCAAAACTTATGTAAAGAAAAGAAATCACCTATGTTTAGGTATATTGAAAATTAATACATAAAAAAGAGTGACTACTCCAGAAAAATATAGAAAACTACTATTAATTAGTAAATGGAGGATAGAAATTCTAATGGCTTGGAGATGCAAACCACAATGAATATACAATCTTTTCAATGAAATAATATCAAAAAATTTCCCAAACTTAAAGAATGAAATTGAAAGTCAAATCCAGGAGGTTTACAGGACTCCAAATATACAGAATTACAATAGACTCACACCAAGGCACTTTAAGTTCTAAAAATTATGAGGATATAAATAAATATTTTATATATATATATATAGGCATATTCCAAACAAGAAGAGATATACAAGTCTTAAAGCATGTCCTTGGGAAAAACAGAAGAGACCATTGAAATCAATAGAAAACAATCTAATTTTTAAAGACTTTGTAGCATTTGAAAATAAATGGAAACAAGTATAGGGCATTTTGATCTATATGAATGAAATACATATCTGTGTCTAGTGTTGTGTTCAGTATAGCTGCGACAGATGGTGTTGCAATTCGAGCCATGTAGGATAGAGTGTTAACACTAGAGCATAATGGATGCTCTTCTCTGTGTACTTGAAAGAAAGTATGGATGTCACATTCACATTCTGTGTATATCCATTCTCCAGGTCTCACTGAATATCACTATAAAGATTTTCATTCTAACATTCTGATTAGTTCAAAAGTTTTATAATTTTAAGGAGTCACTCTATTAAGCCATAATTTCCACACTTGCCCTATCTTTTTTGTTCAGTTAGACATTTAAACCTTGTAATAAATATTTTTATTTTTTAATATTTAATGATTTATCTACTTGAAAAACAGGTGATACGAAGGATAATCTTTCAAAAATTTGAGCCCTGTGCTAATGCTTTAATTTTTACATCCAATAGACAGAATGTGCAAATTTCATCCGAGTTCTTCAACCCTACAACAAGACTCACATTTATGTGTGTGGAACTGGAGCATTTCATCCAGTGTGTGGATATATTGATCTTGGAGCCTACAAGGAGGTAATATAATGCATAGTATGCAAAGCATAATTTATTGCAATATTTTGTTAATTAATAGCTTTAATATAAATGGGATATATTTGAATATAAAGATTAAAAATACACTTTATTAACTGTATAAGGACTCATCTTCCTAACCATTTTATGGACTATCATTTTGATTATACATTTTAGCTACATAATACATTTTTCTATTACAAGTTATTTTCAATAAAAATAAAATTAATAATGTAAAATGCTAAAAGTCTTTTTGTTTTCTATGGGCTTTCTGGATACTTTCATTTTCCCTTGAGTTTTCTTTATAAGTAGATATATGTTGTTTGTTGCTGTTGGTAAGAATCCATTTTCCATAAGATCTTGCAGTGGAATTATATCTTCTATATAATTTCATTTTTCCCATCCAGTAAAGTTGATCTGTTATGAATCCTTATGATAGTGGTCACTAAGTAAAGAGAACTTTAATGAATTTCTTAAATTTATATAGATAGTAATTATCAAACTGAACTTATTGATTATGTAGCACCTAATTAGCATAGAAGAAATAAAGTATGTGTTAATTAAGATGAATTTATTCCAGATAGCAATGAACACTTTTGCAAATAAGAAATATGTAAATTTCAGAAATTTAACTAATGACTATTTTAAAGTGCTGTGAGTTATAGACTATATCATGCACATTATATGGATTATTTTTTTTTGGAATTTCACAAACTCTTAATGAAGTTAGTACCTTTATAATTTCTAACATATAGGTTAGCAAAAGTTGTCCTATTGGGAAAGAAATTTTATTTTTAAGGTCACCCACCCAATAAATGATCTAGTAATGAGTAGAACCAAGACAGTCTGCGTCTAGAGACAGCATGCTCTGCTGAGCTTTAAAATATGAACTCTAAATTGTTTCTTTGTATGGACTGTTATCCTCATGTTTATGTATATGCTTCTTGTGAATAACCACATATATTTGCAGGATGATTGGCTGTGTCTTTGAAAGTAAAGTCCAGGGTTCTGAAACAGGTTTCCTTACATTGATTTAACTGATTCATGCAGAGATCAAACCCACGAGTGTGGCAGGATAGATTTTTCTCTCTAACCAGCTTGTCTAAGCAGCCCAGACTCCACTGTTTGAAAATAAAGCAACCATGATGGTTAAATCTCTGAACCACTAGGAGACTTGGCAACTGAATCCATCATTCTTTGTTGCTGGTATAATGTTCTCCCGCCTAGCTTTGATGAAGGGTGATATATAACAGTAGCTCATAGCATAGGGTGTAATTATATGAGATAGCCCCACAGCTTTGGGTGTGCTTTGAGACCTGAGGCTAAAGGCCAAACTCACAACCTGCTGAGGGAAGCAAATAGTGTTTCATAGCTCCTTAAAAGTCACACATGCTGAAAGGGAATTTGGATGGAGCTAATTACTTAGCTTGGGACTGTCAAGAAGCCCTGGGGCAGTCAAATTTACAAGTTCTATGAATAAGAAAATTATGGGTGAACAGGAGTATTAAGCCTTGAGAGTTTTCAGCAGGTCAGAAGTACAGGTAATTGTATGGGCAGTATTCCTTCAAGATTGTTAACTTTTTTAAATGAACCATTAATTTCAAGAAATTATTGTACTTCTAGAAAGAGTTTAGAAGCCCTTTTCATTTAAGATAAGATTGCTGGGGAGAAGGAACAGTTATACTCTGTAGGGCTAGAGGAAGGAACTCTCTGGAGACTGCTACTTAATGTGGCTGGGGCAGTGAGAAGAGGAAATAACTATGATGAATCCTAGAGAATTAGCAGCCAGTTGGAGCGTGGTCCTATTTATTGAGGTCAGAATATTACCAAGTTTGTGGATAGAATAGTGAGTTAGTAATTGCACATTTTGCATTTGAAACCTGTTCAGTAGGTCATGCCAAGAGGGCAATTGGATCCAGATTCAACAGAGAAGTCAAGACTGCTGTCAACAACTTCTAATAGTAGCTTGGGCACAGACCATCAGAGCTTGACATATGGCTTCAGTCATTTACCAACTCCATGACCTGATGCATACTGCATACATTTCCTAATTTATTGTTTATTCAATAAAATGATAATGATTATGATAGTAACTGCTTCACAGAGTTTTGAGTACAAAATGAGGAAATGATTGGAATAACAATAATTTGGAATAGCACTTGCTCCATTCTAATCACTTTTAATATTCATTAAAATAGGAAACAGGAAGACAGAAAGGTAAAAAGGCATAAGTTTAAAATACATATGCGTGTGTGTGTGTGTGTGTGTATATATATATATATATATATATATACATACACTTTATATGAAGTAATATTAATACCCTGCAATACTGGGAGTTGTGATAGCTGCTTAACAATTGGATTAGAAGCAAGTTCTTTTCTCTGAGATCAACACTCTGTTGCTGCACATTTTACCTTTAAGTGGGGATAATATTGGTAGTAACTTTCCTAGTTGTGATGATTGAATATTTTCTTACTATCATTCTTATCTACTTATCTTTTTTCCTTCTCTAACAATATGTCTGTATGAGAAGGTCAGACAGGTGATTTTTGCATAAATAATTAGGTTTAAGGAATTTCAGGAGGCAAATCTCATAAAATTGAAATCTCAAAACTTAGAGTGCCATGTAAGTTTATCTCAGGAAGTGCATTGAATCATCCATTCTTTTACTTTATTTTCCTGTAGGTGCCCTTGACTGGCTCAAGGAAACCTGCTTTCCTGCTGTCTCCAGATATCTTCTAGTTTTTTATTATAATTTGTAGAACAGGATTTAGTTTACTTTTCCCTTTACAGTATCTCATTATAGACTTTTAGAGTCAACAGGCCTTGTGAACCTGTGGAAAGTAATGTGCCTTTAATGATAAGTAAACTTACTTAAGAGCCACTATCACAGTCCCATGCCCCACTCATCTCTGTCCCCAGCTATGTTTGGAAGTATGCCCTAAATGCATTTTCATTGGAGATATATATATATATATATATATATATATATATATATATATATATATATATATATATATATATTTTAACCTAGGCTCCTCTATTACTTTTCATTAACTAACCTGATGAAACTAAACACACTTGGACTTATGTTACATGGTCACAGTGAGTCAATAAATTAACATGAACACATCCTTATATAAATGAGTTTAAAATTCTGAGACTATATTGTTAACTTTGGAGACAACCATGAGTTCAAGCTCCTGATTTGCCTTTTACTACTACTGTGTGACACTGAACAAAGAATGTGCCCCTTCTATCTTCAATATTATAGCAATTGGCAGAGCTGGAATTGTTGAAGTAGCTACACTGTTAGACTTATGGTGAGGATTCAGTGAGCCAATCTGCATAAACTTCCTAGATCTTGGTTAGTACCTGTTAACTGTTAGGTGCCACTATGGCTAGCATTAAGGTAGGCTAGCATTAAGGTAGGTTTATTTAAAACTACATAATATTGATTGTTAATCAGGTTACTTAAATTGCTATTACTATTTTTTAGTTACTATTGGTCTCATTCAAAAGGGGAAAAAAATCTCAACTGACAACATAATACAATAAGTAATACTATGTCCTCTATCCCTTTTGCTTCAGTGCTTGTAGCATTGAACAGTTCTCTCTTATTCCATGTGACCTATGGTATAACTTTGCAGATAATCCATCTAGAGAGAATGTCTGAAATGCTGGACTTCTCCAACAAATGCAGAGAGTGAGTCATCTGCCTTTTTGCTGGATGTAGTGTTGTCATTGTTATGAAACATTCAGGCTCATGGGGCTACATTCATTATACATTCATATTTTTCTTGGAAAGATCAACTTACGATGTTATTTTTTTCCTGAATATTAGAAGTCTGCCAATGTCATTCTGTCTGTGGCCACTATTACAAAAATAGATGTTTCAGCCAAAATAACTATGTGGCTTTAATGTGTATAGTGTTTTTATAATAGTGAAAATACTACAACAGTATTTTTTTTTTTGCCCACATGCATCAATAGCTCTGAAAATTAACTGCCTGCCTCAGAACATTTTTATGTCATTTAACACACACACACACACTCACACATGCACGGCTTAAGTAATTTGACATAGTTGCAGATGCTTAGTAACATAAATCATAATCATTAACATAAAAGCATAAATATTATAATAAATCTATTTCTTAAAAGAGGAGATTGGTTTAAATTAATAATAATAAACCTATTAGTAAGCTTAAAAAATATGTTTGCTTAGTGATTTTGATATTAATAGTAGTTCATTACCACCTTGGGAAAAAGGAGACCAAACATGAGAATTGAGTCTTGCCAAATGTAATATTGGCTAAAGAGTTAAGGATCAGCATTAAGTACATGCTATATATGCTCTATTAGTTTTTATTGAATTAATGAGTTAGAATTTAATTCTTATCTTCTATGTACTTACTGGTTGTAATATCATAAAAAATCTCACTTGCATTAATATTTCTCATAACAGGAAGTCATATTCAAACTGGACCCACATAATTTGGAGTCTGGCAGACTGAAATGTCCTTTTGATCCTCAGCAGCCTTTTGCATCAGTAATGACAGGTAAGATTGATGACACATAGATCTTGCTCTAAAATGATTTTCTGAAAAGATATGTGTAGACATATATGTGTAGAAAAGCCACATTTTCTTATTGAGTTGAAGATAATTTTGGATTAGTCTTCCACCAGCTATTTGGTTCCAGTATTTTAGTGCCAAATCTTTTTATACTGAACATTCCAATAAAGTGAGGTTTCAGCAATCCTAATGCCTACACAGCTGCTTTTAAAATGAACTTCTGGTTGAATTTTTTAATGCAAATGACATGCTTGTTCTATAATATTATATTTATATGCTTTTTTTTTATACTCAGTTATTTCCCCATTTGGCTCAGTAGGGATGTTAAATTTAAGAATTCTGCATGTGTGTAAATTAATAAACCAAATGAATCAAGCTATCAAATACAGATATATAATGTTACAACATATTTTTCCCCAAATGTTCTATTAATGGAAATGGGATTTTTTTTTTTTGCTGCACATTTAGTCTTCTCTCACTTTGTATACATCTTAAATATGAGATGGTTATCTTATTCAAAGGAGGCAGGCAGTACTGTGTGGTCTGAAGTATGCTCTATAGAATGTCAGCAGGATCCTAGAATTTCAACCATTACCAGAATACCTTTTGTCTTGGTTTGGTTCATGACTTTGGTCTCTTTTTATGTAACTTGTCTATCAAATGTTTGAATAAACCATCAGACTAAAGCACCGTGACATTTTAATTTTCATTAGTGAAACCAATGATCTTGCTTTGAAGTGAAAGTGCGCATGTTTCTGTGTGTTTCGAAAATTATGTGGCTAACATTTACTCGTCCTCAGAAAGTGAAATAAATGATTTGGGATCTCAACAAAGACATTGTGAAAAGTTTGATAAGAGGAAGGGAAGCAAACCATTACTTTGAAATATATAATTGTAGATATTTGACTATTTTATCAGAAAACATGGTAGGTTTCAAATTAAAATTTGATTCTGCATATCTAGTTTTAAAAACTGTCTTCATTGCATCTAAAGTCATACACAGAATCATAAAAGGAGTCACCAGTGCCCACTGTCCATTGTATTTTATAAAGGGTATTAATCCCACTTGACAGATGAGAATCCCAAATTATCTATTTCACTTTCTGAGGATGAGTAAATGTTAGCCACATAATTTTCAAAACACACAGAAACATGCACAGTTTCACTTCAAAGCAAGATCATTGGTTTCACTGTTATGTTTTTCTGATTTTAAAAAATTTGCTCTGCAAGAAAATATTTCCATTTAACCTAACATACTTTAGGAAGTACCTTAAGAGGATGAAGTACTACTGTGTCTTTAACAAATTTACACAGCTGAATTTCTCTCACTTGTGTATTGTTTGGTTTCCTTTATAAGCTGCCTACTGTCATTATTTAAGCATGATTTTCCCAAGGGCTTATTTAGATAAATTTAGATTACATTTCTGAGGAAAGTTGAATTTCAATGATAAACTAATATTTTTATTTTCATACATAGGCATTTAAAAATTTAAATGCTCTGTAGACCAGTTTTACTTTTTTTTTTTAATATATAACCCACAGTTGTTGACTGTAAAAGGCTCTTGAAATAGCAAAGGCTTGGCTCTCAAAGGGGCAACACTTTTTCCTGCCACCCACTCCGCCCCTTCCCAGCCCTGCCACTAGCAGTAGGGGGGCTCTGTCACTGATCCAGCACCCCCTCTCCACTCCCCCATCCTCATCTCTCCTTTTCAATCCCTGATTCTCTTTCCTTGCTCCCTTTCGTTCTTTTTCTCAGCCCCCTCACCTTCCTGTACCCTCCTCTGCACTTACTTCCTTTCTTCCTCCTCCTTCCTGACATTCTTTCCCTTCTCCTCCTCTCTGTCCTCCCCCATCCCCTTTCCCCTCTCTCTTTTCCTTACCCTTTCTCTCTTCTGTGCCTGATAAAACATGGACATTCACTTTATGTAAATAATAGGACAAAGAAATTTGGTATGCTGTAATGCAACATCTTTCTCTTTTCAAGAACTCCTGTTTATCAGAACTATTAGAGACATGATTAGCTACAAGGAATGTAGCATGTTATAATTACAAAGAATGACTTCAGTGCTGAAAGCTCCCTTTCAGCAGAGGTTAGGCAAAGAAAAGTTGTGGTCCTTGAGGTTGTTCGGTTAAGTAAATACTAATTACACAATCCATTCCTCATTATGGCATTTAATTTTTTAATATTTTCTGTGTGTTGTTGCAAAGAAGAATTCCTAACTATAATGTTTTACTGAAATATTTGTGGGGAGAAGGAATAAAGAGTTGGTTCAAAGAGAAGCCAATGCATGTGCAATTATTAATGTGGAAGAATTTAGCCTTTTTTTAGAGTATCTAGCATTAAATGATGAAAGGTAATTGACTTGTGTCTTCAACTAAGCTTATTTTTCAAAATCTGAAAGTGAAATTTGTGAAACAATATATTCTGATGTGAAGCAATCATTGTCTTTGGTGTCATGCTGTGAAATTTGTATGTTTTCAATAGTATCTGGTCAGTATCTGAAAAGTCCTACATGTGCTTTTCTTTCTCCCAGATGAGTACCTCTATTCTGGAACAGCATCTGATTTCCTTGGCAAAGATACTGCATTCACAAGGTCCCTGGGGCCCACTCATGACCACCATTACATCAGAACTGACATTTCAGAGCACTACTGGCTCAATGGTTAGTGATTATTTTGTCATTGATTTGAGATTGATAAGAAGTTCCTTATTGACCATTCAGTTGTGTTTTGGTAGAGTTGATTAAGTACAACATTATAAAATACATTTGAAACTAATTCACATCAACCTAGACAAATCTCCAGAAATTTTTGTTATGTATAGTAACAGCTGGTATTTACTGAGTGTGAGCTATGTAGTTTGCACTATCTATGCTTTTATAGATACTTTGAAAATTCACAATGACATGTAAGATGTAGTATTATTTTATGTTTTTTTTTAAAGATCAGCAAACTGCAGTTGAGAGGAGTTGACTAATTTGGTCAAGGTCTCATAACTTCTTAGCTACAAAGCCAGGATTCAAGCTGGTAATCTGACTCCCACAGTCTGTGGTTTAATGACTAAGCCATCTATTGCCTCTTAGCTCAATAGAAAGGGGTGAGACTGTAATGCTAACTTCTTTTCTAGAACATATTTCTTATTTGTAATTGATACATAATTGTATATTTTCTTTTAAATTAACAATGATTTTCATATTTGGGGATATAGTATGAACTTAATACATACATATGTATGATGTGTAATTATCAAATCAGGTAGGTAATATTTCCCTCTCCTTATCATTTCTTAACATTGATAGTTGTAATGACAACTTCTATTGCTAAAATTTATGTTTGGCGTTACACAGCCCTGCAAAGTTTTAAGAATATTGATAATGATATAGGTTTGTCTGATTACTATTATGTTTAGGGTCATGCCATATTTTGGGTTTAAAAAAGAAAAAAAATAAACAAAAAAAAAAGAAACGTCTAAGTGAATTTCCTTAATTATTTTAAGAACTAATACAAAGGTCTAAATTTTTTAACCCATTGCCTTACAACAGGCCAAATTTTATCATGATTTTCTAATGTTTTCTAATTACCATATGCCTTTATTACTCAGGACAGAATAATATAAAACTGTTATTTAAGCAGGCAGAACACATTTACCATTCTCACCATAAATATTGGGCTCTAGTGGAAGAGGCCAAGGTAGAGCATTTCTAGGAGCCATCTCTGTATCTTTCAGTGTGAGTTAAACAGTGACAACATAAACAAAAGAAGAAACACTTTTAACAAATTTCTTTACTCAAAACCTCCAGATATATTTGTTCATGTAAAAATACGATCTCCAAATAAACCACAAAGATAAATAAATAAATAAATAAGAAACAATGCCCAACAGTATATTTTTGTGGAATTTCTTAATTTGAGAGAAACTCCTATATTTCACCCACAGCCAAGTTTAGATATATCGTTAGATGATAAGATATTCTTATGGCTTTAAGACGTAGTATAAGATAGAATGTTTCAGTTTGGGAATGACAAATATTATGACATTGTTACTCTTTTAAAAAAGTATTCTTTGTTGTCCATAAATAAATCTGCAACATATTAAAACAATAAATGTGGAAAATACATATGCAACTATTATTTACCTGGGATGCTGTTGTTATTGCTGTGTGAATAGAATTACAAAGTAGGAAGCCTTTGAATTGTTGAACATTTCCATAATCAACAGCCTTTGAGTCCTTATTGCATACTGAGTGCTATTCTACCCATGGTCCCTGCCCTGATAGACAGGGGAAGGTGGCTGACCTCGGGTATCATGAATGAGCTGCTTATTCTGCAGTATAGCAGACACTGGGAGAAGGGGCTAAGAAGTTGTTAATATTATTGTAAAACTAAAAGAGAACCACTGATAGCCAGGTAATCAGTTCTTTATTTTTTAAAAGATGAACTGATAGCATGACAAAGGGACAGAGACAAAGGTGCTGGCTGTGGAGATGTACTTGAGCATATTTGAGGGGCACATTTGTGAAAGGAAGAATCTAAAGACATAAGGTAGAGTTCAAGAAAAGAAGGCAGTAGGAAGTAAAATTCTGAAGGAAGAAGAAAAAGATATATGATAAAATTTTAATGGACCTGAATTTATCATTTTAGGGTCATTCAAGGCAGACTTAATGTTTAATAACCACAGTGACCATAGGACCTGGTTTTGCCCAGGATTTCCAGTTTACTTCTATTACTCTTTTACTCTCAAATTATCCCAGCTTAGACAAAAAGGTTATAGTTGTTTGGAACTTAAGTATCTGCACTTAAATCCTGAATATTACTTATGTGTGATCTTGATCAGAACTTTCTGAGCTTGCAAATCTTTGTCTATTTAAAATGGCATCTATTGATAACTATATCTGTTTAGAATCATAAACATTATATTAAATCATTTAGGGAAGTCTGTTAAAAGGCAAGAGCTGGATTAGTGCCAATATCACCCTCATTGCTATCATTCCTGAATGGAACAGGTCAGATGTGGGACTAAAACTCCGAATGCACCCTGGTTCTCTGACATCTCTTTGGCATGTTAAACTATTGACCACTTTTCCCTTTTCCCTTTATACTTCATCATTCAGTGAGCTCATGTAACCTAGTAGTTTCAACTATTACTGTGTTCCATTGTTTCCCAAAACTAGAATTCCATCCTTGTCCTGTAAATCAGTGCTCTTAAAAACTATTTGAATGTCTTATATTTTCATTTCAGACTAAAATAAAAATGATTGCTTTTTGTGGAAATAAAGATATCAGAGCCTTAGCTTCAATTATGCCATGAACTAACTTTGTGATTTCTACAAGTTAATAAATGACCCTTCACTTTAATGGAATCGAAAGTCTAAAAATTTTTTTTAATCTTTTTTTTTTTTTTGCTGCTAACCTGCCCTTCAACATCAGCTTCCTGATTTTGATCTATCTTAGGCTTCTTAACTTCATTTTTCCCATTACCTTGGATTTATCTTTGATTCCTTCCTCTCCTTTATCCCTTTATCTAATCTATCACTAAGGCCTCTACTTCCTTCAACTTGTGTATTGACCTTGTTCTTCTATGGCTGCCATCTTCCCAGAGGCCTTCATGACCTCATCTCTGGTTTATTGCCCCTATTTTAGTATTTACTAACTGATCTTTCCGTCTCTTCTCTTTTCCATTTCAAATTTATTTCATATAACATCTTATATAAAGTCACTATTGTATACAACTTTTAAAATGCTGTTTTGTTGACTGGCATAATCTTGAGAGAATAATTAGTTGCACTTTACATTAGGAGACATGTTAAAAGTTAGTAAATAATCCATATTTAAACAGTTAGTATAAGTGAGTTTGAAACTGAAATCCGTCTCAGGATCCAATTCTTTCCAGTGTGTGACACAGTCTAGCAACCTAAATTCTATTCTTTTGGTGGCATAACTTCTGCTCATATAGCCTCACCATAGAAAAGGGTCGATGTCTACATGCCATGTTGGGTAATAGCAAACCAAAGATGTTGGTCTGGCAGCAAGGACTAGGACAGTTAGAGAAAGTAAGGTTAGGCGAGCAATCTGGGTGAAGCCATGACAAGTGCAAGCAAAAAGGCAGGCCAGAGTGAGGAGAGCCTGATGCTCAGGAGATCAGACAATCACAAATTCCTTGGTTCCTGGAAACTAGGGTAGAGCACAGGGAGAAATTATAGAAATTACATGAGATTCTTATTATGAGGAGAGATCTGATGGGCTATGGCAAAATATTGGCTTGCTCAGAGAAATTTTCTGTCCTCCTCTATGAGAAATGGCCATTTTCCAGATATAGTTAGTCCATGGTTCAAAGACCAAAGTCAGGCATTAGGAGTGTGAGAAGAGAGAATACAGATGAACTGTGCTGTGGTTGAGAATGAATTTTATTATATTATTTAACTGCATGTTTTACAACTTGAGATAGAGCATAGGGAAGGGACACCTCCAAGTCTGTCACCATCAAGCCCAGTCTTTCATTGTGATCCTAAACTTCTGCTAAGAGTAACCTGTTGGGTTTGAGTCTAGAAGGTTGTCTGTTCTTTTGTGATAATTACAAAAATAAAGGTTCTTGCTGTTTAAAACTTGACCTGTTACAGCACACACTGACATTGGATTGGTCTAATGCTGTCCTGCCCATTATGGTAAACACTAGCCATATGTGGCTATTTCTATTTAAATAAACTAAATTTAAATAAAATTAAAATTTCCTTCTTCATTCATTCTAGCTATCTTCAAGTGCTCAATAGCCATCTGAGCTAGGGGTTACGATATTGGACAGCACAAATATGAAAGATTTCCATCAGTGAAGAGATTTCTTTTGGACAGGCTGATTTAAAGTATCCTTACTTATATTATTATGAACACTATCCTACAATCATATAGTACAACACATTTTTGAATATTATTTACTATTTATGTAGCTTATAGATGTGAATGTCACTATTGGGTTTCATAAGATTGCTGCCAGATTGAAAGAAGTAACATAGAAATTAACATTTCCAATGTTAATCCTCCTGCCTCAGGCTGCCCAATAACTGGAATCACTGGCATGTGCCTGGCTTTTATTCTCTTATCAGGATCATTTGAAGAGTATCAGGTTTTTTTGTCTTTATTAAGTCTGAATGGTTCCATATCAATGTCTTTTTGTTGTTTTTTGTTCTATATTGTGTTATTTATTTCTGGCTAAGAAATTTTCTGTTAAATTTTGCTTTCTGTGCTTTCATTTTCAGTTTATACTCCTACTTTTTATTTGCATGTGACAAACTAAACTCTCATTAACGTAATATTATGTTTAGATTAAGTGAAATGCAAAAGTTTAATTAGTAATTGAGCATTTAACAATTAAAATATAGATTCTATAGAATTATGCTTTTTAGATATTGCGATAGATGAAACTTTTATAAGTACCTTTTAGTCACTAAACCATTTAGGTACTTAAAAATTCCTAAGTATGTGAGTGTGTTCCATATTGTGTTCTGTGCCCTATTTTTGCATTAACCAATGGGAGATCAGCTGATCCCTTTACTTAACAGTGGAAGGTCCTGCTCAGAATTTCTTTAGGATTCTCTAATCCCTTCTTTTGGGGGGAGGGATACCTGGGATTGAACCCAGGGGCACGTAACCACTGAGCCAATCCCCAGCC